ACAAAACCAACCCATACACCTGATTTATTTATTTATAACTTCTTGTGGGAAGCAAAACGTTAGCAATGTGCCTTTTTAAAAAAATTTATTTTTCCTTTATTCTTTGCCAGGAAGCTGGTGTTACACAGATTATCAAGAGGAAAAGGAAGTCCTCTATTATTGTTCTTGATACTCCCTCCATCTGTGTTTCTGATACTGTGTTTTATGTGGCTATTGACTCTAATCAAGTTTGTAAGGATTTAATTTTACATTTTTATGCCTTATGACCAGTGACTTTCTAAATTTTTTAAAAGAGACAGAAGGAAGAAATGGGATCTGGAACACAATAAAGCCAGAGTAATCTTCTTAGCCTGATTTTTCTCAGGAAACCTCATTAAAAATAAGGCTTGAAATTTTGCTTGAGTAAAGAATTTTCAAAATAAGCCTAGAAGAAACCTAGACAGTGCTGATGACATGAGAAATTATTCCAGGTATTTTTCATCTGGCTTCTCCAGCACTCAGAGTGCACACCAGAGGCTTGTGTAGTGTCATAAAAATGTTCTGTGTTTAATTATTGGTAACACTTTACAACTGATCTGCATTTTTTGAGAACTGTCTGGCATTAAACTGCTATTTTCACAGGATTATTTATTGAAAGTTTGTACTATTGAATGTTATGTCATCTTAACTTCAGACTGTGTTTTTTTTCTAATTGTTGGGTTAGGATTGTTTCTTCCTAGATACATAAGTATGTACATGTCTATGTATACGGTCTACTTACCTATGTATAATCCAGTCTTTCTTTTATGTTCCCTCTATAGCTGTAGTGGTTAAGGTGGAGAATGCAAAATGTTTTCTTAAATAAATTTTTAGTTTGTGTTTGTCCTCTAACATAAAAGTAGCAAAAATAGCATTAGTTTTCAAATTTTTAAAAAGAAATGGGCCTCTCCTTTTAAACTTCCAACCCTCCCCCCACCCCCCAGCTTTGCAAAACTCCTGAATGTTGTTTTAATACATGGGAGTAATGGACTTGAGTCAGTAAAAACATTCATAAAAGCGTTAGTATTAAAACAAACATATGGTAACTTGCAGCTTTTCTTCAGATTTCTCAGGTGGGTTTTGACCTTGAAACTGTTGGTGTTTTGACAAAAAGAGTAGAGAAATATAATTTACTTGAAGCAGCCATTTCTGTTTTGGCAGGCATGTTTTTTAGAAAATACAGTCTGGGGTCTGACCTTGGCAATATGTGTTGCAACATGAATATGTTGCTACAAGTGTTAGTAGTTAATAAACATCAACTTCTTCCTTATTTTAATACTGGAAGCATTGTTTCTAGAACATGTGCTTGGCACACTTAACCTCTGTATGTTTACATAAAAATGTCTACAAATGCTGAGCATAAAACTGCAACTTTGTTAGTTTTTGCTTACTTTGGGTTTAAATCCTTGAATAACTTACCTGTAGTTTTCTGAGTATGGGTGTATGAATACACTCTCTTGCATTCACAGAATGATGCTTGTTCTCAGAAGAAGCCTTTGGACATGTAGCAAGGTAAAGTTCTGAAGCAAGTTGAAATAAAATAATACAGAGACTTGGAAAGAGCTCCAGAATTAGCTCACTGTTTTCCAGATTATGGCATATTTACTTTGGGAGTATCTCTGCCCAGAAACAAGTAATCCCACTAAACCTGATACCACAGTCCTCTGTCCATATTCAGTTCTGCTGGGAAGATAGACTTAATGCTATTCTGAGTATCATTAATTGAGATATAAATAATGGAGAGAAAGCTATGAGGTCAGTACATGTACATGGCTGTCTTTTTCATGCAGAACATTCTTGCAACATATGGAATTATTATTTTTTTTCTTTTAGTCATGCCATTGTGATAGGTTACTTCATCATAATTTTTTAGACTAGACAAGCTGTATTGAAAAACAGGTAGGAATCCACTGGGTATCTTTGAGCTGTACTGAAATCACATATAGGAGAATAACACAACAAGAATTATCCTCTGTAAAATCCTGATCTCAACCCATAAACCTTTTCCTTAATATTATGAACACTACTGCTCCTGCCTAGAGCTGATTGCTACTTTGATTTCTAGAAATGAGAAAAAGATGATGTTCAGTGTTAAAGAAGTTCCTGGTGCTGCTTCTTCCATAATATCAGCTGTGTATATAGCGCGAGAGTAAAACAGCATCTTTAAACAAAAGAAAAAGACTAAATGCATTTTCTGCCTAGGTGGCCTTTCTCAGAGCAAAGGCAGCTTTTGTGGGTGTGGAACAGAACTTAGTTTGTTCTGCAATGCTTCGCTTTTGTGGGGGTGGAACAGAACTTAGTTTGTTCTGCAATGCTTCCTGTCCCACAGATGTGGACTGGTAATGTTGGTTTCATGAACGAATAATGCTGAGGTTTTTTTGTCTCACAAATAACTGTTAGGTTCCAAAGTAAAATTACAGAAGTAAGTCTTGTGCCCTCAAGATGGGATTGTAAAAGTATGTATTCAATGTAATTAGGTACCTAATTGAGTGCTTAAAGTTATGTAATGTATATGCATATGTAAGTAATTAAATTATATTGGGAAATTCTTTATTTGTCATAGTCTGTGTTCTGCTCCCAGATCAAATTATAAGCAGAATTTATTTTGCAGCTATTTGAAAATACTTACTTTCCAAGTAATTTTCTTATTTTTGTTAGGGTTGATGTTTTTTTCTCTCAGATTAACAAAGCTTAAAAAGCTAACTGTGAAAAATCCAAACCAGTTTGGAAAATACAAAAAACATATACCAAAAGGAGACTTGAAAATAAGTTATATCTAGTGAAATTTGTTATAATTAAACACCCTGAGGTCAGAAATCACTGGAAGTTCTTTCGTGTACTTATGAGAGGTAATGAACAGTGTAGCTCATGGGATTGAAGTCAACAGCTAACTGTTCTGGAACAGCTTGCTTTAGTAGATTTTCATGCCTTCATCTCTCTTCAGCAGGAAATGGGGAGACCTTTAACAACTTATCTTGTAAGTGAAACCAGCTGTTGTAGTGAACCAGCTATTGGAGAGAAACCAAGGAGTCACACTTTGTACATAGACCTGAGTTTCTGACAAACCTGATAATCAAAGAGAGGATGAACTTTGACTTAACAATCAGGGCACAGGCAAAAATCAGTCTTAACAGTATTTATTGCTTCTAGGTTGTTATCAAAACAGAGATTTTTGTTTAAATTTCTTACATCTGAGAACGTTTGGGAAAAAGATAAAGGGATTGCACTAGAGAGTAACCCATCAGACCTGGAAGTGAGGTTATTTTCAGTTCATTCATGATGAAGGTCCCTCGGGTAGCCCACTGAATAGTTGGGTTACAGATTGCTTAATTTTAGGCCCGAAGCCTGGCCATTAATACACCAGAATATGCCAAATTTATGCTGCATTATCAACAGGAAAATGCTAGTACTAGAAGGAACAGCAGACATCAGCCTACTGGAATGGTACACCAGAAAAGTGTATCAGAATAATTTCCAGTTTGCCATTAGGCTGATTTATTGTGTGTGAACCTTTTTGTCTAAATACTTAACATTTATTTTTCTGGTGCTCATTTTGAGAAGTACCAATTTCTTGTTTTGCATCAACATTTCCCCCATCCTCATTTTGTATTGTGAATGGTATTGGGTATATCATGTGGAGAAGGGAATAGCCTCTGTGCCTCAGTAGCTGGAGCTTGAAGTACAAGTTTTAAATTAGCACAGCCTGTCAGCTGATAAAGAGCAGCTTATCAGTTCTTACTGCCTTTCTATAATGCTGCCATTTACTATTAAATACTAATATTTGAATGGGGAACAGTTGTACTGATGTGGATCACTGCAAGATTACTTAGTCCACCTGTCTGGGTGCATGCTCTTGTGAGCAAGCAAATTCATTCTCTGTCAAGCTCGTCATGAATTTAATTTGAACCTGTCTTCAGAATTCGCTTCTTTGAATCACATCTGCTGCAGTGATTCATTGCTTACTGTCTCTCCTGTGTGGTCAATGTATGAATTGTTAACAGTAAAGGTTACAAGGAGGGTGCAGGTGAAACTCTGGTCCAAGTCCCTATCCCTGCTGAAAATACTGACTTTGTATGTTTTAAGTGTATAGAGTTTTGTTTGCAGAGATGGTGTGATTTTAATTGATGACTACATGTAGTAATTTCACTGTTAAGAAAAGTCTTCATTTTCCTGAGTAGTTGAATAATCTATGCAAAGAGCTAGAGTGACATCTGTCCATGCACATGCACGTGAATGTGTTTTTTTCTAGAATGACAATTCAATCTCTCTGTGAAAATCTTCAAGCTTACTTCTTTGCTTCTGTTTATTCTTGATCACCCAGCACATCAGTTTCATACTAAGCATAAGTTAATTTCTTTAGATACTGTTCTTCAGCTAGTAGTTTCAACAACTTGAGTCAGTACACTAAAGAATTTTAAATAATTTTTTTGTCTGACTTAGATTAGATGTTCCTAATAAGGCTTTTTCTGTTTTCGGTCTACATGTCTGATACATATTTCGGCATAGATGGAATTATAAAAAATTAAAATACATCATGTCTGGGTTTTCATGTGTGTATACTTCTAAAATGTTATATTCTAATAAATCATTCTAAATATTATATAAAATCTAAATATTGTATGTTCTATTATAGCTCATCATGTTGTTGAAATGAACTTGTTAGGAAAACAGTAGCAGACTTGTCTAATAAGGGTATGGATGCTAGTAAGCTGCTCATCTTGAAGATGACAAAAGAATTTTTAGAGTGCTGCAACCCTAACTGAACCACAGGAACACTGTTCTCAAAATGCTCTTTCAATGAAAAGCTTGCCTCTTTATTTTTAGAAATGAAAGGAGTTTCAAACATAAAATTACATGAGGTTTAATAAAATGTGGTTAGGGGAAGTTCTTAGGGAATGTGATTTGTATTTCTGCAATGTAGTTATATCTTCTTTCATAAACTGCTGATTATCTTTATTCTCTCACTCCCTTTTGCCTTGTAGCCGTCCTCAGAAGGTGTGTTTGTGTCCTTTCCTGCCTGTACATCCACTAAAGGTCTCTACCTGCTTGTATATAATTCAGCATCCAGCAGAGGTGAGTAAGGCTGTGTAACTAAGAGACTTGAGCTCTAATCGTAATGCAGTAAATGGCAGGCAGGAGGAAACAGCTGTGCTGTCACCTCATTGTCATGCTTCAACCCCAGCCATCAGCTGAGTACCATGCAGTGCCACAGTACTTGCCCCTCTGTCAGATGGGATGGGGATGAGAAGCAGTGGGAGAAAATTGTAAAATTTTCTGTGAGAGAGATAAGAGCAATTTAATAAATTAAACAAAGTGAAATACAGGAGCAGTAGTAGTACTACTACTGCTGCAACTATTAATAATAACAGCAAGTGATGCAAGATACAGTGCTCACCACATGCTGAGGCCTAGCCTATCCCTGAGCAGCAGTTGACAGTTCCTGACCATCCCCAGTTTAAATACTGGTCATGGCATTCTATGTGTGAAATAACTATGTTTAGCCAGTTCAAGTTGTCTGACCGGGACATGCTCCCTTAAGACTTCTTGTGGAACTCCTCACTGGCAAAATGTGAGACACTTGAAAGTCCTTGGCTTAGATAAACACTACTTAATGTACTGATGTTTTCGTTGTTGCTATCAACATTATTCTCATCCTGGATCGGAAACACAGCATTGTATCAACTACTGGAAAAAAATTAATTATATCCCAGCCAAAACCAGGGCAATCATATAATGATTTTTCCTTTTAAACTTCATGACTGAATGCCAGTTCATCTGAGTTGCTATATTTGTTGTTCAGTTCTTCTGAATTATTGTATTTTCTGAAATCACACCTTATTTCTGTAATGCCATGCATGCAAGATATCTCAGCTGTATAGTCCTACTGGGATTGAAATCTACTTACCTTTGTACAAATTGTAAGAATGAAATAACATTATTATTAAGTAACATTAAATAAAATAAAGACACATGGGTGTGATTTGTGGGGTATCCTGTACAAGGCCAGAAGTTGGACTCGATGATCCTCATGGGTCCCTTCCAACTCAGCATATTTTGTGATTCTATGAATACAGTGTCTCACAGAGGTGCTTAGAGTTGATTCATGGAGAAGTGTATTTTGATTACAGCAGTGCTCTTTTATTGATATTAGTGTTCTCCTAAAAATGTGAATTAAGCTATTCATCTTAGTGATAACCTTAGCTATTTCCTCAATGAAAAACTACAGTTCAGCTTCAGAACAGTATGTTTTGGTTTACCAATAGGAGGACATACATTGATGTTTTTCTCTTCAGTTGACAGTGGAGATGGATCATAAGGTATTTAGAAATTGTCTGGGTAGATGGTGAATCTGCAAATTAGACTGTAGAATTCAGAACACTGTACTCTCATGGTCCAGCTGTTTGCTTGACATCACACAGCTGCTCAGTCAACACACAAAGAGTCATTTCCTGAAGGAATTTAAGCAGAACACAAAAAAATCCAATTAAAAAAAAATTCTTCTCTCACAGGGAAATAAATCAGAAGCCATGACATGTTTGGGCCCTAAATGGGAAAACTGATTTTTGATGGACTGTGTATAATAGAAATCTTCCATCTTACTTCCTATTTCAAAAGTACCTGAATATACACTGAAGTCACTTGCTGGGACAAAGAAGTTTAAAAATATGCCAGAGACACTGAATTGACATTTTAATTGTGTTGAATTTTCTGTTCATGGTGGAGAGTATTAGAAAAAGTCTGCAGATTTTTCTGGATTTATACAGCATTCCTGTGTCTGTCGTGAAGACTATCTACAATTTTTTATTATTTAGCAATCAGAACAGCTGTCTGTTACAATGGGATGCAAGTTTTCCATTACTCTATATTTCATAATGATAATTCATAAAACAAACTGTCATTGGAAGACCACTGTGGTAACTATCCAACTATATGAGGGCCCTTGGCTTATTAGAGATAAGTCCTATTAAATAGTACGAAACTAAGAACATCATACACTGATCTTCAGAAGTGGTCACAGGTGGCGCTTTTGAGCGCATAACTACAGAGGTGTACATGACAAAAGGTAAGTTCCCTTTTCTTGTAGCTGCTCATGCTTAAAACCCAATCAGTCTTAAAGGCATATGGGCCTTTTGGACTGTATCTGATCCTTCAGTCTGCCATTGCATTACAGATACACCCTGAACAGTCAGTTTTTAAAATATCCCATTAAACTAACCAGGTAGAGAATATCTTTCCCCTGCTGCATGTCATTCCTGTCATCCGCCATGTGCTTCATTGTTCGCTTTGGAAGTCTGCAGTGCGTTGGACTAAGCCTTCAGCTATGATCTAATGGTGCTGTTGAGACTGGTAATGAGGGAAGGTAGTAATGTAGAAAGTCAGGAAAAACATTTACTGTGTTCTGATTAATGTGATTAATGTCTTCACATTCACACTATCCAGAGGCCAAGCACCTGTGCACATATCAGGTATTGTGAAAGGCAGAAGAATCACTTGTTGTAGAAGAGCAGATCACATGTGAGAAATTGTACTGTCAAACTTCCATTTTGCATAACAGCTACATGAATTATTTAGATTTTTATTTGTGGAAGAATCTGAGGATAATACAACATTCCATGTTAAGGTGTAAATACTTGGTTTCAGATTGTGTTAGTGCACCATTGCTCATCATAAGACTAATTTAAAAACTAAAACTATAGAAACCCAACATCAGGACTAGTGCAAAGGCGATGAAATTATTTGCTCAGTCTGATTTTTTTTTTCTTATTTTCATTTTTTTTCTTTTTGCATATATGTAAATATATATGTACATATATAAGTAAATAGAATAATTGTAATTTTTCCTTTTTCCTGCCTGCTGTTATGATCCATAGGTCAGTGGCATAGCTAGGTGTACAAGCCCCTTTTTGCCTTACCTTTGACTTTGATTAATCTTGAAGTGATTGCAAGTAGGATGTAGACCAAAATGTACTGCTCAAAACCTGAATGATGTGTGTAACTCGGGGCAGAACCCCGAAGTGTAGCAGAGGGTATCTGTTTAAGTTTCTTGTTCCCTGCCTTTCTGTAAGAATTTTCTATGTTAACCATCTAAGAAGAAAATTTAGACTGTGTGTATTTAATGATTTTCTCTATTGATCTAATCTAAGCCAGTAATTAGCTTTGAGTTGCTCATTATAATACCTCTTCCATATAGTATTTCTGAGTGAACAGTAAAAAATGTGAGGGGAAAATTCTTTCTGTTTGCCCTTAAAATTCATAAGCAAACATGAAGGAAATATATACGCACTGACTTCAATAAATATTTGTATTAGTTTGAACTGTTGTTTCATTGTAGATGGATAATCAAAACTATCACAAGCTCCCAGAAAATGCAAAAAAAGCCAGTGCAAAAGTAAATTGCCTTGAGTCTGGAAGGAACTTAGCTTTTCACACTGCAGGTCTGAGAGATCTGTGCCCTCAGTGTTTGGACTAGTGCTGAGCAGTGCTCACTCAGCATCAGGGCTGCGCCTCCAAGACTGCTTTCAGAGGCCAGTAGCTTGTGGGTGGGCAACAGATCGGAGGGCACATATCCAGAACAGCTAAGCTGGGCTGACCAGGGGGATATTCCATACCATATGACAACACAGCTGGGAGAGGTGGGTGGCAAATGGCATCTCTCATTGAGGCTTGTGTAGGAACTGCTACATGTGCTGAGGCCCTATTTCCCAGGAAGTGGTTGCACTTTGCCTGCTGATAGGAAAAGGAGAATAAAATATATTTATTTTCCTTCTGCCCGTTGCTTCTGCCTATCAGATTCATTTACATCTTATTTCCCCACCCCATTCCGCTGAGAAGGAAGAGAGGCTGGTGGGCACCAAGAGGCCAACCAAAGTCAGCCCGCCATGTAAGTCCTTTAGTCCTATTTCTATCTATGTACTTTAGTAGTCACATAATGAATAAACAAAGAGTTGCAAATAACTTATGCAGAAAGTTGCAAATTACTATCTCTGAGGAGAACAAAGGAGAGTAACTTCTCACTTTCAAACCAGTAAATATAAAATTGCTGGTATGATAATGTTACATACAGACTGGATAAATACAATTTTTTAAATGAGGAAAATTAGTAACTACTAAAACATTTTTAATGTTAGTTTGATTCAGCTCTTAAGTTTCTGTTCGCTATTCCTTTCTGCTTTGCATTTTATATTTTAGCTTCCTATTTATTTAGCTTCCATTGGTTTTAGATTGGAAAATCTTATTTCCTGTTTTAGTAAGAGAATGTATTTCTTTGATAGGAAAGGTAATTCTCAAGTAGGGATATGACATTGCAGGGAGCAGTTGAATAACTTTCGCCTGACTGATGACAACTCTTTTGGTTTTGCTTATCAGAGACATATAGATGATTTTCTTCCAGTTCCTTTATTACCACTTCTTAAATTCTTATAAAGCAGGGAGGCCTCTGACTGCTGAATTGGAATGTTATTTAATTATGACAAAAGAAAAACACATTATACTGTACCACTGTTGATGGCTTATTCTGAGGTAGAAGAAATTGATGGCAGTTTGAACTATATTTCTCCCTCCCATTGCTGGCACTTCACACCCAAGTTACTTTGATCATTGTCTGTCCCTAGAAGACATCATGCTGCTGCTGCCATGAAAAAGAATGGTGGATGTAGTAGGACAGCTACTTCTTCAACTCCATGATGTTTTGTTTATAGAGGATCAGGAGATAAGGTTCAGAAAAAGCAAAATTAATAAAAATTTTAGGCAACAGTAATAAGTCTTCAGAAAACTATTTTAACAGTACTTTGGTAGCAAGACAATGTGAGAATGCAGACAGCTGCACATTGATATTTGTGGAAACAATATATGCCCAGAATGAGTTAAGCAGGGCCTCATGTTCACAAATACTCTGTTGTTGAGATACGGCTCTTAAATTAAAAGGTAAACCAAACCCTTCACCCCTACCCCTGGGGTTCATTAGTTAATGCCATTTAGGGACTGATGTTTGTATGTTCATTGTCTGAATCATCTGACATTCAGGTTGAGAATATTGTAAGAACTTATTTATCTTACTGGGTTTAAGGTTTTCATGATCCTTACCTGACATCTAGTGTCTTACCTCCTGCTAGATTCAGCTACTAACCTTCCTTTGTTCATCTTGTGACTAATAAAGAAACTGAAACTTCCATTTTTGGTGTTGGCTTGCTGTCTTCACTATGTGCAAGATAAAACTATATATCTGCTTCCTTGATAGGAAAAAAAAATCTGACATCACACAAACTGAAGCTCAAATTGTACTAATTATTGTCTAGACAAAAGTTCATTGCCAGCTCTGCTAAATGAAGCACAGAAATATATTGCTCTTTTTTAGGAGTAGATAGTTTGCTTCAGCTGTTATTACTTCCTTCTTCCTTAATTTTCTGAAGTCCTGCTTCAACACAGCTCTCTTTAGTCCTCTTTGAGAAATGAAAAGCCCCTGCTCTCCACCCAGGTGTGGTGGTCAATCTTCCTCACCTGTGGAACAAAGGTGTATTCAAATGCCTGGTCACCCCAGCTTGAATGGCATGAGACAAAAGTCATTGTGGCAGTGTAGGTGTCATTGTATAGGTTACTCTAAAATGAAGTGACAGCAGAATGTTTGCATTTCACACTGTATCTTCTTGCAAGAGATTGTTTTTTTTTTTTAGAATCTGTTTGTGGAAATTGAGCTCTACCCTAGTTTTCTACTGATCCTGATACTATTTCATTAATGCTAATGCTTTTTTTTTGCCCACTGTTTATTGTTCTGTGATTTTCTCTGAAGTTTTGTTACTGTTTTTTATACTGATAGCCTAGTTCAAATTTATGATGTTGATCATAGATTAGTTGAGACTGAGTTCAATATTGTCAATCAAAACAATACAATTTGAAGCATCAAGACTGGGGGTTTTTGTCCTGAAGATTTTTGCCCTGTTACCTGCTGAAATTTTTTCTCTGTCTGCAGTCAACAGAATTTGATAGAAATTGAAAACATTAACAATTCATAGAAGCCTTTCTTGATTTTATTCCAAAGTAACTTTTATTTTTTTACAGGAAAGTCGAGTGTTAAGAACAGTACCTTTGCTAGCAGCTTGTCTCCCTCCAGACAAATGTAAAATTTTGGTTGGTCGACGTTTTAACGAAGACAGGTGAGCAGGATTGCCTGTGCATTTTCTGGTTCTCTGTAAATTATAGGAATATATCTTTCAGTGTCTTTTTAAATAGCCTACAGCGTTCTTAATTTTTATTTCAAGTGTGCACACTCACTTTTGATAATAGCTTCTGATTTCCAAAGACAGTCAGAAGCACTTGATAATCTTCCTTTAGGTTACAGTTTCAGTTCTGTGCTCTTGGAGTGTTCAGATAGCTACTTTCAAACTCTTATCTGTTTCCAGTTGTGTTCTTTCCTAGTACTAGGTCTGTCTTGCTATTCTATTTTGTTCTTTTTTGATTTGCTTTATCTGACTAACCATTTGGTGTCACTGAAGTAAAACTAACAGTTTTTACTCAAGTGTGAGAAATTAAGAAAGTACCCTCATGGTGAGAAACTCTTTAAAATTAAGAAAAATACATTCACTTTTTCTTAATCTTAATTACAAGAAAACAGCTCTCAGAATTTTTTAAATTATTTTTTTTTTCTAATATTCTGAGACATTGGAAAATACTGCTTTCCCATATAGCATCTTTAATCCTGATTAAATGAAGCTAAATCTTAGAAACAAGGTCTTGGTGCAAAGCCAGTAAAGTTTTACTGCATACATTTTTCAGTTAAGCAAATAGAAATTATGAATACTTACAAAGGAAATTAATTGTTGATCGAGTTGAATCCTTAGAGGAAATTCTCTGTAGAGTTCAGTGTACAAAAATGTTGGAAGGAAATACAGAGTGAGGCTTGCACATCTTTGTGCTGCCTGTGTATTAACTAGAAAACATCAAAAATACCTTTCTTTTCTTTCAGTCTTCTACGATAACTCTAATAATTATCTCAAAGGTTTTAAGCTACAGGGAGATTTTACTCCCTTCTTATTAAACCCGAAAATGAACTTTTCAAATTGATACGCATCAGGTAGAACACTGTCAATACAGTATGCGCCTAGTAAATATATGAATTCTTTTAAATTGATGATGACAATATTAAAGCTGCTTCAAGTTTGAATCCAGAGGTATTTCTCTAAACTAGAGGATTGTCTTTAGGTCAAAACCTCTGTGGAACATCTCAGCCTCAAATTCTGTTAGACTTTGTTGCCATAAACCATGCTGGAGGTGGTGATAGAAACGAACATTTTCATTAGGTTAATAAGGATTTTTGTGATCTGTGTTACCCAGGTGTGGGGCTAAAATGTAACACTTTCAGCATCTGTAGTGCCTGCTTTGTACTGTACATGTGAGACTGTAAAAATTGGGAGTGCTCAGTTAGTGAGTTTATGTCCACATTCTTGGGAAGAGGAAGGAAGAGTGATGGACAAGAGTTACATTCCAGCTTTACAATGTGTTATTGCATATTTTTTCTTCTTAGCTATAAATGAATTCAGTCAATGTGTTAAGCAATATTCCTTCCTTGTAAAAACAAAGGAACAGGCACTTTGCAGACTTGTAGAAACATCTCAGTGTTTACTGTAAATGGGAAGGGCTGTACTGGTCCTTAATCTTCTCTTAGGCTGAAAGTCCCTACTGAAGTATCTTGTGAGACTTCTAAAGCCTCACAAATTGTAGTGCTTCATCTTACATTTTTTGCCACATCAAACTAAACAGGATTTGTTTGTTTTCTAGATTTCTTAAAAGCCATGCTGTCTGTAAGCAGTTTGGTACCTACTGTACAGGCAACTTAATCCACCTTGACCCCTGTCAGGGCAAGACTTCTATCTTTTTTACTTTCAAGAAATAAGTTATTACAGAATGCTTGCTGGTATATTGTAGAAGTATCATTGGTTTGAAGCACCTTAAGACTTCGAATTTGTTGATGCTTTGCTTTTTGTTGTTATCTGATACTATTTGTGTCCTTCTCTGCTGCCACCGGGAGTGCATGGTTTGGAAGGGTATAAGCCAGTAAAACTCAAAATCTCTGCTGACCTTGTGTGTGGACAGTGACCTTGTCACTGACCTTGTGTGTGGGCAATGCCTGGAGATGGAGGCATGATGTGGTGCCCACATTCTTCCTCTGCATGCATGTAGAACCCTACATGTGTCAGACTTGACCAAGCGATAACCTGGATGGTTTCCCATACTCTTATAAATAATCATAATAGAATGGTAGTTGAAATATTTGTATTATTTTAGGGGATCCAGCAGCTCTTGGCAACAGCTCTGAAAACTCAGAACAGTTCAAAGCAACCTTTGTGAGCATAAGTAATGGTCATTATGGATTTGAGTGAAACCTAAGCCATACGCAGCAGCAGATTTTCTTTGGAAGTCTCCAGCACAGCAGTGCCACAGCTCTAGCAGTGGCATGCCAAGCAGCAAACTAACTGCGGTGAATCTGGAGCTGTCAGAGGTCTGCTTTTAAGGGCAAGTGTACATACCATCTTAGCTGGGTAGCTCTCAGTGCCCATCACTTGAAGGGGAAGGCATGTTTGCTGTCTAAGTGTATCTTGGTTATTTTTCCAATGCTTTGTAATCAGCATCCAAAACATATGAGGAGAACAAAGGGATTTTATAAGGAGCTCCAGAATTGGGTCCTACGGAATAATTGGCATGACCTGAATGAAAGTATAACATTTAGTTGTCCAATGGTTATGACAGTAAGACTGAAAATCAGGATTTTATTCTTGATTTGCCTATATTGCAGAAAAGCTGAAGAACCAAGTTTGGAAATTTTTTAACACCAAATAGTGAAAGACTTTAACTCTGACATTTTTTATGATATTGATTATATTAATGTCAGACACTGGGATTTTTTTGATGTACTGAAACGATTAAGCTAGAAGTGAACAGTTTGGCATGAGTACTTAGAACATGATGGTATTGTAAAAATAACACATTTGCTAGTTGTTAATATTTGCTGTTTTATTTTCCTTCAATAAAAATGGAATAATATTGTTAATACACATGATATGGTGAGCAAGGGAAGTTGAAATATACAAAAGTGTGGGGGAGAACAGAGGGGTAGCTAGGGCATCTGTTGTCTCAAGTCAGTAAAGTGATTACTTATTCCTGAATACAAAGTTAAGGTATAATTTATGTAGCTGGATATACACTGTATAGTATGGTTTTCTGAAACTGCATTTACAAAAGCCTTTATACTTGAAGGATGTGTATTAAAATGCTTTCTACAAAGATACAGAACTTCAAAAAAGTGAAGTGTAGTAGTATGGGCAAAAAAAAGTGCTAATGTCTTTTCCCTGCATTGTTTATAGACTTGTACAACTGCAATATATTAAAGCAGTATATATATATATATATAGTATATAGAAATGTTAGGGCAAAAAACAGTTATTGTCTCTTATACATTAATAAAATACAATTTATTGGATTAATGCTCTTTTTAGGCTACTAATAAAATTTTGTAGGCAATTGGTTTTGTATAATAACACTGTTGTACTCAGGAGTAATTCTGGGCACATATTGAACAGAGATAACAACTGTATCTAATATCTAACATGTCAAAAATTTGAATTATTTTGGTACCAGACTTTTATAAACAACCTTGTCACTATAGTTGTTAAGTTTCATTTTATATTTTGTGACTATTTGGATGGGATGATTTTGCCTTTATTTTATTTTTCTGTAAAGGTAATATAATTCTCAAGCCTTCCCTCCTTGCAAATATTCACACTTTGGCGATTCTGGATGCTGTGATAAAATTATAGATTCTAATGAAGGAACACTTACAAGACACCAGATGCAAATATTTTGACATCCACCACTTCGTTACTTAGGACAGTGTGGAAGAATTACAAATTTATCTGCTTTGCTCTCTGAAATCAAACCACATAAAGTGCTGGTTCTGCACCTGGGATGGGGCAGCTCTGGCTGTGTGTGTAGACTGGGGAATGAGGTGCTCGAAAGCAGCGATGTGGAAAGGGACCTGGGGGCCCTGGTTGATGGTGAGTTGAACATGAATCATCAGTGCCCTGGCAGCCAGGAGGGCCAGCCTTGTCCTGGGGAGCGTCAGGGACAGCATTGCCATTGGGTAGGGGAGGGGATTGTCCTGGTTTGCTCTGCACTGGGACAGCCTCAATTTGTATATTGTGTGCAGATTTGGTCACCACAATATAAATGATATTGAGCAGTTAGAGAGCAATGAAGGCAGTGACAGGCCTCAAGGGGAAGCCGTGTGAGGAGTGTCTGAGGTCACTTGGTCTGTTCAGCCTGGAGAAGAAGAGACTGAGGGGAGACCTCACTGCAGTTACAACTTCTTGTGAGGGAAAGAGGGGTAGATACTGATCTCTTCTTTCTTGTGAACAGCAACAGAACCCAGGGGAATGGCCTGAAGTTGTGCCAGGGGATATTTAGGTTGGATACCAGGATAAGGCTTTTCATCCTGAGAGCTCTTGGGCCCTGGAACAGGCTCCAAAAGGAAGTGGTCACAGCACCAAACCTGTCTGAGTTCAATAAGCATTCGGTCAATACTCTCAAGTGCATGAAGGTGTCCTCTTGCGGTCCTGAGCAGGGACAGGAGTTGAGTCAATGATCCTTGTGGGTCCCTTACAATTCTGCATATTCTATGATGTTATGGTTCTGTGATTCTATGAAATATTAGTATATTTGCCAGCCCTCCTGTAGTTCAGTAGTTTAGATCAGAAGTTAAATGGACCACTTGGGAAATTTTGTAGTTTCACTTTCAAAGTAATAAAATGCAACTTATTTCTGTTGATTTTGTAAAGCTGTTCAAGGTAATTAGGTAATTATGTACAATAGATAGGGCACTTTCTAGTGCTTCTTCACAAAGACTAATTCTTACTATATCAAATATCAACTAATGTAAAACTGTTTACAGGTTGTGATTCTTTATTCAGGTAACATTTTTGTGAGCTTTTTTGTGTGGTTTGCTGTCATTATGCTATCAAACTAAATTAATGCATTTTTGCCTCTTACCTCAATTAAGAAGAACTAGATGCAGGCAGAGATCATCAGGCTGTCACAGCTTTTGTCATTCTGTGTGTGAAAGTAATTAGTTATTTTATTTTTCAGGTATTATTTTTCAGCTGGT